CACAAGACAGGCCAACCGATGCCGGCCTGACCTGCCATTCAAATTTATCATTCTAGGTAAGTTGCCACACCTCCATGGAATTATTTTCCAGTGGGAGGAAAAACAAACACCTAAGGCAAAGAACACACCAAAAAAGGACCAGGACCAGAGGGACCCTCTCTTGATCATAGAATGAGTTTTCCTCTGTCACAAAAGGTCCAAGAAACTGACAAAGCCTCAGGAGCTGGTAGCAGAAGTGATCCGGAAAGCAAGGACCCGAATCAGGGAGTTAGCAGGATGTGATTTTAAGTGCATTCACATTCCAGTTGAGTTAAAATCAGGTCAAAATACTATGAAAATACTGGAACAATTGTTTAAAGAAAATGAAGTGTTGCAGTTTGCTCTGGATTCCTACTCAGGACAAATTTCAGTAGCGCGGCCCGCTCACAAATTGTTCGAACAAGATGTTCAATTTACCTTAAAATTAAGAAGTGCTCTAAGTAGGAGACCTTTAAAAAGGGCTCTGACTGTCTTTACAGATGCATCCGGGAGGTCCCACAAGTCTGTTATGACTTGGAAGGATCCTCAAACCCAGCAGTGGGAGACGGACATTGCTGAGGTGGAAGGTTCACCTCAGGTTGATGAATTGGCTGCGGTTGTTAGGGCTTTTCAAAGGTTCTCAGAACCATTTAATCTGATTACAGACTCTGCATACGTGGCAGGAGTAGTATCCAGCGCAGATCAAGCAGTACTGCAAGATATGTCTAACATCACACTTTGCGAATTGCTCTCAAAACTGGTAAAGTTAGTCACTCACCGAGAGCAGCCATTTTATGTGATGCATGTCAGGTCACACACTGACTTGCCAGAGTTTATCGCTGAAGGCAACAGAAGGGCAGATGCTCTTGCTGCACCTGCAGTGATGGCCACTCTCCCAAATGTTTTTGAACAGGCAAAAATCAGCCACCAGCTTTTCCACCAAAATGCACCTGGCCTGGTTCGTCAGTTTAACATCACTCAAGAACAGGCCAAAGCGATTGTGGCCACATGCCCAAATTGCCAACAACATGCACTCCCTACAGTGAGTACGGGAGCAAACCCAAGGGGACTGAACAGTTGTGAACTGTGGCAAACAGATGTAACACACATACAGTCTTTTGGACGGCAGAAATATGTTCACGTTAGCGTAGATACCTTTTCTGGAGCGGTCTATGCTTCTGCCCACACAGAAGAATCATCTATTGATGCTATTAAGCACCTCTTACAGGCTTTTTCTTTCATGGGCATCCCCAAGGAGCTGAAAACTGATAATGGGCCTGCTTACAAATCCAAGGAATTCGGGAGCTTCCTGCAGCAATGGGGAGTAGAGCACAAAACTGGCATCCCCTACTCCCCTACAGGTCAAGCCATTGTAGAAAGAACTCACCGTGATATTAAAAGGGTCCTGGACCAGCAACAACAGGTTCTGAAGGTAGAACCTCCCCACATACGGTTATCCAGGGCGCTATTCACAATCAATTTTCTGAATTGTTCTTTTGACAGCCTGAACCCACCCATCCTACGCCACTTTGGGGGAGCAATCATAAGTTAATGAAAGAAAAACCTCCAGTTTTAGTAAAGGACGCTGAGACTTGGAAAATGGTGGGACCTTACAAATTGGTTACCTGGGGACGTGGATACGCCTGTGTGTCCACCCCCTCTGGTTTAAGGTGGGTTCCTTCCAAATGGGTAAAGCCCTATGTTCCCAAAGTCTCAGAGAAATCTACAGAAGCACTCCAGGTTGCTCATGCTGCCTGGAGAAGGAAACGCTGCACGCGTTCTCTGGAGGAAATTCCATTTAAGCCTCCTATCTGGAATAGTTTGTAATATATGTTTGTTTCAAGTTTTTGTACCAGTTTAGATCCCACTGTTCGTGTGTAGCCTCGAGACACCGTGAGACCGAGCCTGCTTCTTGTCCCACTCGTGATCATCCCACCTGCGATCTCCTGCATAGTCCCTCAGCTCAAAGCACATATGGACTACCTTGGCAAAGGTTCTCAGACATCAACAGAGAAACTGACAACTGGCTGAATGGACTGTTCAAAGGCTGGGGACTCTCGGGGTGGTTGGAATATATTCTGAAAACTGTGTTTTTAGTGCTGTTTATTTTAGTTATAGTTATTGTAGTTAGCATTGTTTTTGGACTAATCAAACGCATGGTCCTCAAGTTAATTTCAAGCTTATCTCCCCCCTCCTGAGGTCTACCATTTGGAAGCCCTCAGTGCTCCAATGGATGACCTGGAGGCCTCAGTGGAAAACACTGACCCTCCTGTAGAGGAAGAACCGATTTACCAACCATGGTTTGGCAATCATTCTGCACCACAAACACAGTCCTTTTTAAACAAAACTAGGGGGAGATGTTGCGGTGTGTCTTAAGCTTCCGGGTCCCTTCCCCAGGTGTGCCAATACCCCCTCTCCCTTCCCCCTCGCCCCTTGCTGAGTGAGTCCTGTCAATCAGGCTTAACATTCCAGCAAGGCATCGTGTGGTTGGTCAAGTTCAAAGGATGCCCCTCAGGCCCAGGGGTCATTGGCCGGTCTGGGTGTCATCTTCCCCTGAGACCCCGCCCCTCTCACCTGGTTGGTGGCTCAACTGTACCTCCCCTCCCCCTGTCCCTGAGCTTAAAAGGTGAATCAGACCATGCGGCCGAGATTCTGTTGGAGCAGTTGCTCACATTCAGACCTCTGTAACCTTGGAATAAACCTCTGGATATTAAACCCTCCAGCAGAATCCATCTCCTTTTTCTCTTCACCATCGCCAGTAAACGGAGTTCCTAACAAGCCTGGACTTGTTCAGTGCCCAGCTGCAACCACCAGCAAGCCAAGGTATCTCTGGGGTGATTACACCACAGTTGCTGCCTTTGGCCCAGCAGCGAGGGTCAGACTAGCCCAGGCACAATATAACTGGTAATATTAGGATTCATATTCCAATAGCACAGCATGTGGGAAAAAGCCATCTCACCTTCACATTTAAAAGGAAGAGCCCTGAGCTGTTACAAGACAGGTAGTTGTCTGAAAATGTCTTATCTATGCTCAGTAGTGTGGGAAAAAAAAGCAAATTAAATTATTAAACTTTTCTTAGAAATGAGTAAAGAATCAGTAGAGATAACATCAAGACAGTGTATAAAATGAGAAATATTGTACACAAACCTGGGTCCTCCTTCTCAGAGGACAAAGGAATGGGGAAACAACTTTGAGAGGTGACATAGAATTAAAGATCATTTAGAGTCCTGTCCAGGAAGCAGTGACAGAGCACTTAAACTACCAAAAACGTTTGAAGCTGAAAACCATGTTACTAATAACATGATACTATTAAGTAACACAATGACCAGTTTGGTTTGAGAAATCTGAGTGTCAGTAAAAAGACAGTGGCCCCGATGAGAGTCTCAGACATGAATTTTCAGATGTTGAAATTCTGTACCCACTTCTGATTTCTGAGGTGCATAGCACAAGCTGATCCTGCCTTTGCTTCTGGTGTCCTAGGTGCTAACTGTGTTTTTCATGCTTATGGAAGACAAGTTCTGAAGTCCTCACATAGCCCTGTTACCCAGACAAAAATAGGTGGCCTGCAGCAACTGTTCCCTTCTGCACACTGCTGAGAAACCAGACCAGTCCCACATGGCTCCAAATAGCTCGCACCTTGGTTTGAAGACTTCAGCAAGCAGCAGTTCTGCTGTCCAAGGAGGAAGAAATAAGCAGGGGACCTGAATAGGTGGTGAAAGCTGTCTGGTTTGTGTTAAGAAACTTTTATGAAACTCTCTGGTAGTCACACTCCCAATGGCAGAGGTCTTAACTCCTAGGACTGAAGCTGCTTTACAGTAAGTGGCTCCAATGAGTTGCAGGTGGCCCCACTTGACAGACCCCATGACATGCAGTCAGACCTGGTTTCCTTCCCAGTTTGACCCTAGATTTTCCATAATGGAGTCTCAGATGTTGAGTTCCAAAAAGCAATTTATTCACAGAACAGTAACTCAGAAACGTGTTATCCAAAAGGGTCAGCATTTCACAGCCTCTTGTCTCAGGCTCGTACCCAGAGCTCAATCTGCATCTCAATTTGCTCTTAGGTCATGTGGAGGGGGGCAGCAGGCAGGAGACAGAGACCACTTACCCCCAAGTTCATGTGGCAACAGAGAGATTTTATTTCCCAAGCCCTCCCTTATATAGGGCATTTGAAAGATCTGGTCTGGATGCTATCATTGGTTTGAACTCCGTGCCCCTTGAGGTTCTGGCCAGTGAGATGCCTGCGGCCTTTGGAGATATATGATTGGGCAAGAACCCTGTCAATCACGGTAGCAGCTAGCAAACTGGTCTACATGGACCAGATGTATTCCTCAACAGTTTGGATAGCAGCAAATGTGGTAGAAATGTGCATCCCTAGAGACAGCACATTGTGTTACCAGGAACTAAGCATACATCACTGTTACAGTACAAGCTGGCTTATACTGGGCAATTAATTTGGCTATAAATAAGAAACCCAGCTTGGTTCCATAAACAGGTCCCTGGCTGAGCGATGATAGGATAGATTTGAATACACAGGGACTTCACCCAATCACGTTCCACCCTAAGCTGCAGGGTCCCCACCCTCTTACTAGTCGGGGAGCTAGGTGGTGTTAAAGTCAGACCAATGAGCTGTCTAGACCAAGAGATTCAAAACCTGCTATTTAAGGAGAGTGCGGACAATAAAACATGCTGTTGTCGCATGAAGACCTAGAGTATATGTTGTCTGTGTCTCCGACCACCGACTCCATGTAACAGATCTCAGTCTGGAGGTATAAAGTATCATTTTAGTGTGGCATTCATAGGGAGGTAAGGAACAGGAGATGTGCATGGCATATTAGGAAGATACGGTGGCACATAGGACCAAAGGCCTTCATGCAAAAGGACTCCTGGCAGCTGACTTCTGTTATGATCCACTTATTAAAATTATTAGAGACATGCCTCTGCTTGAATTAAGGTGCAAATGAGACCATACGCTGAAGTCAGTAGTATCAATTTTATTTAACAGTGAATATGAGGGGGAGAGGGGAGAGTGTGAGAGACAGAAATAAGAGAATAGTGGGGGACAGAAAGAGAGTGACAGAGATGACAGATTGAGTAGAAAATATCACCACCCCCTGGATCCCAATGGTGTCCCCATTGGTCCTCTTCTGGTCTTCTTGGTAGTGAGAGTCCTGCAAAACAGAGTTCAGTGGATTAATATACCTTTGGGCCAGATGGATATGCCGAGCTACCTCCCCTGGGAGCAGGGGGCAAGTTTGACATTGTCTCTTGCAACAGACTCTGCATCTGTTGCATCAGTTTGCATAGTGGGCAGTCCTCTGGTGCAAAGCCTCAGGAATGAGTCTGAGGGACTCTTTCAGGGTTTAATGGTTTATGAAACCTCCTCAGCTACCTCTCATATGAATGTCCTGTGTGGATGGGGCCTTCCCAGGGTGTGGGGGATGTCGTGGTTTGACCGGAAATGGGACATCTGGGATATTTTGTTTTGCTGTGATTACCAATGGGTAATTGGAATTTAAGATGGGCACTTAGTTTGACCAGTGGGACATTTGGATCCGCCTCTTGAGACTACGAACTCAAGGGGTTAAAAGCAGGGCTCTTGGCCTTCGGAGCCCTCTTGGGATTTCCGGCGTGAAGAAGTCTCTCCCCCGGCCCAGTTTCTGGCTGGGCTGGGGGAGGGGAGAGCCACGTGGCCCATCTACGGTAGGCCCGGGTTCGGAGGAAGGGTGGCAGACCCTTGAGCGACCAGTTTATTCCCCCCCCCCCCCCAGAGAATGCAGCCCGTGCTCGAACTGTATATCTTGAAACTTGATATCATGTGCCGGCAGGCAGCACGGCTGGGAGGAGAAAGGGGGGGGCAGCGGGCAGTCCGGCCGCCTGGGAGAACTTTTAACCCTTTGGGGAATGAAGGCTTCGCAGAACATTGCTTTTCCTGGGAAAGGGACAGGAGTGGAAGATGAAGGAAGAAAATCAGGCCAGTAAGGAGGGTCTGGCAAAGGGAGAAGAGAGATGTTGAAGGAATGGAGGAAGATGGAGTGGCAGTTTTTGCTGGACTCTTTTTTGTTGTATTTCCATGGACTGTTTCCTGGTGAGGCAGAGGCTGTATTGCAGGGGGAAGCGGAGGCTCGGCGTCAAGAGAGTTTGGTTTTGAGACCCCTCGGCCCCAGGGGGTATAGAAGACATGGTGGGGGGGACAGAGGTCCCAGGATTGTGACTGTACTCTGCTTGGAACGAGACGAGGCATTCTTAAAAGGCCCTGAAGGCAGGCCCCTGCCCCATCCCATGCCAGGTGGTGAGAGCACCTCGGCATGGAAAGGAGATGTCACGAGATAGCAAGATACCGGGCGGATTGCTGATTGTGACAAGAAGTCCGTGGCACAAGGAAGGACTCCGTCTATCCCTTATGAGCTGAAGATTTGATTTTTTTTTCCAAAGGGTGGTGCCAGACCGAGTGTGGATAATTTTTTGGGAAATGTAAATGTGTTTGGGAATTTGGTGGGAGGAGGATAAGGAAGTGTTTCTGTGTAGTTTTCATTCTCCTTGTTTTTTTCCCTGTGTGTGTGTAGGTTAGTAATTGTGTGTGTAGTTTAGTAATTGTGTGTGTAGTTTAGTTAATAAACTTCTCTTTATGTTTAAGTTGGAGCCTGCTTTGCTTATTTCCTGGCCACATCTCACAGCAGATATCAGGTAAAAGGTATATTTATGGGGGCCTTGGCTTTGCCAGGCCTAAACCATAACAGGGGAGTTTACAACTGAGTCAGTTGGTGTAAGGATGGGTGTTAACTTTCTCTGACTACAGACTACACCACACACACAAAACTCTCCTCCTTTCCCCCTTGGTTGGGGTAGAGTGTGTGTAAACCTAGACTCGGGAAATGAGTTTGTGAGCTATGGACTCCCCACCCCAAACCCAGCCAGAGCTGATTTTCAGGAGAGCTGCTGGGTTTGGCCTTCTTTGTAGATACATTCTTCTCCCTAAGCCTTGTTACTTCCTCCTAGACCTGAGATTATTGGATATTAGTGTCACCTTTATGTTATCTCAAGTTCCCTTTAGGTGGTTTAATTCACAGTCCAAACTTTCAGTCAAGAAGAATATTCAGGGAGGGGTGGACTTAGATGGTGGTAACTCCTTTAATTAGTTTTGCCATAATGGGCAAAAAATCTTTCATAACAATTTTTAAGCCATTAACCGTAACATTTCAGTCTGTCACAACTTCTGATCTGCTTGTAGCAGGCAACCTATTTTTGGTGAAGAATTTAGCTGTAAACTATATCTTGCCTCAAAGTTTCTGAACATCCATAGTTCTGCCTGGAAAATCTGGATGAGTGGTCATATGTGCTGCTAAGATCCCCAGTATGAACAAAAAGCTTTTCCAATGTCCATGTGAAATCCAGCATATTTGGCTTACCATGTATGGCAGCAGCTCTCTGGCTACAGAGAGCAGGCACAGACTTTCCCAGGCATTTTCTTGGGGAAGGCTGTGAGAAGGTCAGAGAAAAGAATGAGAAATAATTCTTATCTCCACTTGCTGCACCTGTTGTTGTGCACATGTGGAATGTGTTACAGAGATTTGTTTACCAAAGGGTGATTTCTTAATTGGACAGTGGATGTTATTTGGATTGATTGACCAGTTAGGTCCAAGCTGTATCAGATTGTTTGTAAGGGTTATGAGCTTCTTAATAGATATAGTATAATACAGAATAGAATAAAGGAATTGATCAGCCTTCTGCAATCATGAAGTCAATACTAATTATTACCTGGCTGAGTGCCTGCGGTGACAATCATGTATCTATTTTTCAGAACTATACTTCTAACCAGCACACAAGGCACTTGTTCCATTGCATCTGTAACATGTACAGCTGACATATGGTGGATCTAGCAAATAGTAGTGACATCCCTGTGATTTCTAGTCAACTCTTCCTACTTTCTGTAATTTCAAGGAAAATAATAAAAGCAGATTCTACCAAAGTTTTGTCACAGAATTTACTGCAATAAAAGTGAACTTTTTTCCAAGAAAGATCTTAAAGTTTAATCATGAGGGATTTTAAATAGATCATTGTAACCAGTACTCTCTCCTTCCCTTATCATGTAAAGCACATAAAATAATTCACTGCACATAGTAAAACTGTACAGGAGGACCATGCCAGATAATTTACCACTTGGATGTCCTCCCACTACTGAGAAGAGGCACTAAGAATGATACTTCAGAAATTACACATAAAAAATCTTTGATGTCATGGTAACAGAATGAAGAACCAAAGCCCCTCTCAGAGTTATTTTCATAATCAAAAGAAAGTGTACCTCTAAATTAGCAATGATGAGTGGCAACAAGCTGCTTTCCAATATCTGACAAATCAGAGAAAAAGAAGATAAGATCTAAAAAAAAGGTATTGCAGTACTGAAGAAATATGCACAGAACACTCATAAAATATGGTAAAGAAGGAGAAAATTTGAGAAGGGAGATAAAAATATATCCTTGGCACTCTGAACTAGATGTTGACTCACCCACTCCTACACAATGTCCATGAGACTACAGGAAACAGAAGCTTTTCGTGTCCTGTAGTACACTCACCTGAAACAACTATACATTTATTTTCAGCCCTCTGAATACTATGCAATGAAAACCCAGTAGATGAGTTCAACTGGTGTGTCTGGATTTCTCTTATACTAGAGCAAAAGTCAAAAAAAGCAGATGAAAATTGAATAGAAAAGCAAAAATTAGAATATTCTTTGTCAAATTCCTTTACTGTCAATTTATGTAGCAGAAACTCATAATTCTACAGAATGGGTGTGTGTGTGTAAATATCTGTATAAAGAGGGGGAGAGAGAGAGAAGTAAAATAAGAGAATGTTTAGTTATACCAGATAGCCAAAGGTAAATGACACCACTATGACTAACTGCAAGTGATCATAGAGGCAGCCCAGTTAAACAGGGTTTCTTAAGGGTCAACACTGAGATTGACACTGTTTCACATCAGCACCTATGGTCTGGAAAAGGGGACAGAAGGGCCCTAGGACCTTGAGCAAGTTGGCATATGACACAAAACTGCACAGAGCACATGACATTCAAAGGCAGTCCTGTGATTCACGTTGACTTTGGCTAGCAGGAGGAATAGTCCACTAGGGGGCTTATACACAGGGAGAGGCTGATCTAACTGGGTTTATTCAACAAAGTGAAGACAAAATCTGATTGCTGTCTTCAATTATCTACATAGTTTTATAGAGAAGAATGAGCCAAGCAATTCTCTGAGATGCTCAACAAGAAGCAAGAGACTGAAACAGAAACAACAGGAATTCTGACTGGAGAGGATAAAATATTCTTCAATCTTAGAACAGTTAAGCAGATTGGCTAGTGTCCTGCATAACCCAGAATGTTATTGTTTTCTATCTCTAGATAGAAAACTATCTAGCTGTGCTATGTCATCTGCCTAAAATTTTTACTGTCTCTTGAAGAGATGATGTCCAGAAATGGAACTGCAGAGGTGTCTCAGTTTAGAGAAATTTAGGAGAAAACACTCTTGTCTCAGTTTGGAAAGACAGGAGTTTGCTAAGGCAGGAGCCTCTCTTGACATGGAGAATGTAAACCCGCCCCACCCCTCTGAATTGCTATAAATTTTAAATTAAGGGGCTCTCAGGCAAAAATATGGGAGCAGGAAATAACAGTTCTTTAATCGGGAAGGAAAAAAATAAAAGGTCAAAATAAACAATGCAGTACACTAGAACAACACTGACAGAGTCAGAACCCAGCTTGACACCCTGTGGGTCAGGGTGTTGGCAGCAGTCCAATTGGAAATGTGGCTGCAGTCCTCCTGAAGTGTCAGGTGTGGTTCTGTTGGAGCAAGGGGATCCTGTAGAGAAGGATGTATTCTTCCTCTGAAGATCTAGTGGAAGAAGAGACAGCTGCTGTTCCTCTGGGGAATCCCGTGGAAAAAGCCATGCTGTTGTCTCAAAAACGTCTAGATTATATCTTGGTAGCAATGCTTGGCTCCTCCCTCTGGGCTCACATCTCACAATGGGATGCTGTAATTCTTATCAGTCATGCAGTGACATTCAATAGTCTGTTATCAGCAGATGTCCCCTCCTGAGGGAGGTGTGATTGTAGTCATTCAAAGAGAGAGATAAAACAAACTGCCTACTTGACAAAAGATAATCTGCCTTACAGATGATAATTGAAAACATCTTGCATTGCAATCTGGAACAACTCTGGAATGAATTGTCTCCTCTAAAAGGGTTCCAAGAATCCCTTTCCACCAAGATGAAAGGAATGAGAGGGAGGTGTCTTTACAAACAAACTGTAGGCCTGCTGGTAGATTAAGTCAGATACTGATAGGTGAAAGAAGCAATGGTAGGAACTATACCTTCCATAGGAATTCCACTAATTTACATAGACCTTTGCTCACCCAAAGCTGTGCTAAATTCCTGAACTTATAGAAAAAGAACAGAGACACAAAGAAAAGGAAGGAGGGGGTATGTATGGGGGAATGCACATTAGAAGGGGGTCTCTGTTATGTGATTCAGGAAGTCTGTACTTCTCATGTACTTCAGCCAATTAAGAAAGAGAGAGGGAAATGCAGCCTGGATATTAGGATAAAAAGGAGGCGCTAACAATTTGAGAGACCCCATAGGATATGCCCCATGGCCTCTCCCTTTATTCAAATAAAGTTACAGGATTCCTCTGTCTCCTTTTTGGACATAAATTGCTGACATTGTGGATTAATTTTCTTGACAAATAGGAAATGAATACTAGTGGATGAAAGTGAAAAAAAAAAAAAAAAACAACCCAAAACTGAACAGTTTATTAAGAAACAGAATGCCCACAAGGCACAGTAAAAATATTGAATTAAATGCTAGACATTAAAGTCTCAGACCTTGCCCTCCCCATCCACCCAAACTGTGAGAAACAAAGCCCACTCCTCACTCAAAATGTAAAGGAAATTTAATAAGAGACAATAGGGGATGAAAAAGGAACGTGCTGGGTGCTTAGCCACAGCCAGAGGCACACCAGTCAACACAGCAACACCCCTTACATACCATGGGTATTGCATCAGCCAAATACATAATCATAAATTATCATACATATTCAATCATTTTAACATAGTTCCTCCTCTGTCCCTACCCTTCAGAGCATGTGCAGTCATCCTTCTTGTGATCATCTGCTACTTTTCGATACATTCACCAAGCCTGGACTTTTCATTGGTTAAATGTTAACATTACAACAACTCCCAACCAATATTAGCATCACAACCCAACATTCAGATTGAAAGATCTCTAAGCTTTTTTACAAAGGTTAACATTATGAAACACATAGTATTCACTCTAACAATTGTGAAAGCCAACACTGTAATATATTTATCACACGAACAAAAACCCAAAATGCCAAGTAAACAGTATTGGCTCATGCCACATGGTAGAAGATGGTGCCAGCTTTTCTCTCAGGAAAAGAAATCAAACAGGAGCTTCATGCTGTAGTTCAGGAAAACAGATGAAAATTTAGTGACTCTCTGGCATTAATCTCATCTCCAAAGCAGATGAAGCAGGTGGGCTAGAGCCTCATAGTGTGTGTTTTCTCCTTGACTTGGCTTTCCCAAGGTCTAGGGCCAAAAACAGAGCAGGCCCCTCTCTCTCACTGATCCTGACCAACCCCTCTCCTACAGGTCCCATTTTCTCTGGTCTCAGACTAAACAAACTATCCAGTTTACCTCTGCGATAGATGAGTAATGTGATGATTGACTCTCACAATTAACTGACAAATATCACGTAAGTGAAAAACACCAATCGCTTGCTTTAAAATTTTAAAAGTTTAATAGTAATAAAATAGTTATAAAAATAGTAATTAAAAGTAGAGCAATAAGAATTTGGACAATCAGAGTTAGGGCAATACAGGACCATAAAAGCAAAGAAATACAGACGTCTGGATGCTTCCAGGGCATTAAGCCCCCAAAAAGTATAGCTTGCTAAGAAAAGATTAACCCTTAAAAGCAATAGCCTCTTGCATATTCATATATCTCATACATGATTATATCTCATACATATATCTCAAACATTCCTTTCAAACTAGGGATTTTTCTGTTTATTGTCAACTTCCCCCTTAATTTTGTAAATCAGTCGCCTTGGTTCCTCAGAGTCTGAGCCTTCCTGATAAGGAGGCAATAATTCTTTTCTTGGAATCCTGTTATATCTCCATCCAGAGAGGATAATGAGAAGAATGTCTTCGTTATCTTTTCCGTTTCTTGGGTCAGTGACAAAAAAGTATCACATAGTTTCTATTTCAATATTATGCTATAGACTAAAAACTATATTTACCACACTACTTAAAAGAGATTATTACAACATAACTTTCAAACATAAAACATATAGAATTCATTTGAATATTTGCAAAGAGCTAATCATATAATATGCATTTTTTACAATGTATCTAGATTAAGAAAAATTTTTTAGATTTATAGTCATGTTACTCCTTTGCATTGTTATCAAGGGAC